CACGAATTTTACGGGGGGAAAATGAGCAGAAAGTGCTCGAAAGTCGCCAAGTCGTTGATTCGTCTGGGGAAAAAGGGGGGATGGGGGTGGTCTGAACTTGAATGACTTTTCATAACTTTATAAAACTTTTCACAATGCAGGAAGGCAACGACAATAACAACAACAACGACAACGAGAACGACAACGACAATGAAGAAGAAGCCGCCTGACAATGGCCAAATGAGTGGAGGGTGCAAAATTGGGTGGTGAAGTTGCCGAGTTTGGGGTCACCTTTTCTTGCTTTGGCACGTTTCCGCTTCCGTTTAGTCTGCGTTGCTTACACTTGAGCATAATGAATATTTTCCCAAATTGAAATGTTGTTTGTCCTTGCCGAAAGGGGGGTTGGCAGGCTCAACTGACCCCCAAACTCCCCAAACTCCCAAAACTCCCCGAACTCCCACTTTCGAGTCACTTTCACTTTACGACTGCTTTGGAAGCTGCATAAATATGAAAAATGTAAAATTTAATATGCAATTTACGTCACTCGAAAGTTGTCTTGGCTTTTTTTTGGGGTCCTTTCAATTTGCATATTTCCCGAGCGTTGTTCTTCTTAATGTTTTACACTTTTTGGTTAGTGGACTTTCTTTTTGGGGGTTTCTTGTTGCTTTGTTTTATGTCTTTGGTCATTGTATTGTCTGGGGAAATTTAGAGCGAGTCTGTGGCAAATGTGCGATAAATATGTGTGCTCAACACTCTGCAAAAAAAAAACTTGGCAATGCGGGGGAGTTGCATAATTGCGAAATCGGAGACTTCAATTGACGTCCATCTCGCTGGCATTGAAATGCGACTCGTGAGATGCGGAACCTCGAAATCGTTTCGTTTCACGGCCTTTGGCCGCAGCACTCAACCAGGCACCCAGTCACCCAGTCACTCATTCAAATATTCATTCATTCATTCGGTCAATGATGGATAGACAGTTGTATGCTAAATATGATTGATATCCACACAAAGAGAGATCTCTCGAGAGCAGGTCATGATTTCTATGCCCAGCGATCGAGGCAATGATTGAAAGAGAGCTGCGAAAAAAAATGTGATCAATCATCCCACCATCGATTCGTTTGGCCTGCTTGCAAGATGACAAAACAAACATTAATGAGGGCGCATTCATGATCCAGCCATGAGATACTTTCCTCCACAGATACCCCACCGCAGTCTTTCTCTCGCAAATTTCACCGCTGCGCACTTGACTTTGACTAATACCCACCGATTTATTAAGTTAATTGGATCCCTTTGAGGAAAATCTCTAATTAGTTTGCTCGATTGCAATGGGAAATTTGGGGATGCATAATAAGCAAGCCTAGAATACCCTTAATGTATTAATTGAATTTGTATTTATTATAATTAATAATAATTATTAACTTGTGTTTATTCATCTGAGTCAAAAATTAAAAATTAAATTGGAAAAATTTTGTGTTAGCCAATAAATCAAAAAATTTAAGAAATAAAATGGGGTAGTAAAAATAAATATTTGACTATTGAATTCAAAATTTTAAATTTAATATTTAAATATTTGCATTTAAATTAAATAGTGGATTAAAACATTGAATACAATGTATATTTAATTCCATGATTAATAATAATGTTACAATCTTTTAACTAAAGTGGAAAATGTTAAATTGAAAATAGTTCCTATTTTATTTAAATGCATTTTATTGATGTTAAATATGGTTTAAATTTAAATTACAATTCTGGACACGCAAATCGATTACAAAAATAATCAAATACACAACTTTTCCATGCAGGTCTGTTCCTAATAAATCGAAATGAACCAGCGACCAAAATAAATACTTTTGAAAAGTTTCAAAAAATTAAAAAAGAGAGCAGTAAAAATTTGTTATTAAGATCTCATTATATTTTAATGCAGCAAATACCCGTTGTGAAGGGTACGAAATTTTGTGGATCAGACGATGACAGCAACGAGCAAGAAGCAAATAAATTAATTATGTTAATCTGTTTACATGACAGCCGCATTAAGGCCTGCTCTTAACCGGGCTTTTTCAGGGATGTCTCGCCTGGTTATGTGTGCGTGCAAAAGTATTTGTGTTTTGTTTAAGTTAATAAAGCAAACAACACCTGTCGCACTTCAAGCAGTTCTGTCTCCTGTGGACACGCATACGCACCGTTGACAGCGCCAAACTTAAAACGCTCAAATTGCACAAACTTTTGACAATCATCCAGGCCATGATGATGATGCTGATGGCCATGGTGGCGGACGAGGGATAGACGCTCCTAGACATCATCAATTTTCGGAGTCAGAGTTCAGGGCTGGGGGATAAAGACCACAAAACACTTGGGGAGCAGAACGGAATGGAAAGTTTCTGCGGTTCACTGGGAAACAGTGGGACGGAATTGCCTTATTGTGGATGATAAATATTGTAAAAACTTAAGTAATTTGCATTTTAGAACTCTTTAAATATGTATCTACCCAAGTAAAGTCTCTTTCTTCAATTAGTGGCTATTTACATAAATTTATAAATGGCTTTAGTGACTGAACTAAAATATCCAAATGGATTTAAATCAATAATGATTGATTTATAACAAACTTAATAATTATCGATTGATAATATGATCGATTTACAGTATAATTGATAATTAACGATTTGAATTATAAGTAGGAATGATTTTTCTTCTTTTCTTAGTTTTAATAGTACCAGCCTAAATTCAAGCTCACTAGTAACTAATTAAAATGTTAGTCTTACATTTATTATGTACCTATTACAATCTCCAGAATAAAAGATTCGTTACAAAAATATAATTGTTGTACTTAAATCCACTTTTAGATTGCCATTCGATGAAATATATTTGCTGATATGTGATACGGTTGGTGCCATTGTCCATTGTAGCTGATGTTGTTGATGAGGCATCGTGCACTTTAAGCAAATTAGTTACGCAGCTCATGTTCGTATGGGTCCTTATGGCCTCATCCCCCCACACGGACAAAAACCCGGTCCACCCACCAATTGTGTGTTGGCAAACAAATTTAATAAATAGCTAAACACACAAAAGTCACAACCCTTTGTACCAGCAGGATGGGAAAGTCCTCTTTGAGAATGGGGTTGTGGATGTGAATGTGGCAGGGATGGAACGGAATGGTTCTTCCGCCTGTCAACGAGCAACAGAAGCATGAAAGAAGCCATTGGCTCGCAACCCTCTCCCAAAAATGGGGGTCCTTCACCAACCACCCAGTTAGACATATTCATATTTACTCAAGTTTATGGAGCCTTGTATTTGTCTTTGGTTTTTGTCATCGCCGACATTGCGGATTGCCACATAAAATATAACACTTCATTTACAGACCCTCGCATTAGTCTTGGCTTCGTTTTAGCCTTGTCTTTTTGTCTTCTTGGATTTTTTCTTTTTGCTCCAGCGGAATTCTTTCAACGCCTAACGCCAACAGAAGGTTTTCGGGTGGGTCGAAGCTGGAGTTGCGGTTTCGCTCTTTCGGACAGGCCTCATAATTTATATGCTAAGCATATTGCACTTACATGGATTACCAACATATCGATATACATACATGTAGCAAATTTTCGTGTTACACATTTTGTGGGCCTGGTTAGTTGGCTCTTTGTGCCCGTTACAATTTGGTTAAACTGTCAGCAGCAGAAGTCTTTTTCTCGGAGTGGAGTGGCTAATGAAAAGGTTAAGGCTGAGGTTTTCATGGCTTACGATGCGACCAAAGTCAACCGGATTGGTGACCCCGATCTGCACCCTCGTCAAGTTGTCGCCATGTTTTGATAAAGCTAAGCCTGCAGAAAACACTGTCTTAAAGGAAATTAACCATTTAATCATTTAAAAATACTCGGTACTTAATGTTTATTCAACACTAATAGAAAAAATGAAATAAAATAAAAATCTGACTATTAAATTCAAAATTGTATATTAAATTTTTAAAAACAAAGAACAAAAAAAAATTTAAAAATCTTAAGTACGATTGCCTATTTTCTACGAAAATAAATAATATCAATACACAACTAAGCTATAAAATGTATCTTTGAGAATGCATTTACTTTATTTAAAACATTTTATTGTTGGGAATGCTTACTTTTATACACTGCATTTTATGGTGTAGTGAAAACTTTCCTCTATTTTAATTAATTTGAATTCATTCCCCAAATACTGAGTCTATTTTGAATGGTGAAACAATATTATCTCAGAGTCATAATTAATGAGCTATTTTCAACCCCTTTGAAAAAGACTTCCGTCTTGCATTTCTCTAAGCTTATCTGGTGGTGACCCCAACGCGGTGATCCTCAGTCACTTCGCCAGGTCGCGTTCAACTGGTGACCATGACGTTGATGATTCAGCTGTCACACCCACCCGCCGGTTAAACTGACCTGACTTAACCCATTACGGAGCTCTTTTCGATGCCACCGAAGCATGCCACCGATTCCCATGAAGCGCTCAGCGGAGCATAAAAAGTTCACAGCCCATTGCCAGCTTGGCCAACCCTTCATCCAGAGGCCCAAGGCCTCCACCTCCTCCTCCACCTCCATCTCCATCTCCGTCTTCGTCTGGTCAGATCTCCGGTTCCGAGAAAACAAAACTCCACTTCCTTATGGCCAAGAACGGCAGCAAAAGGCTCGGTTGCCACTTTAAATATTGTTTTGACCCAATTTCTGGTGGTACTTCGACAGCTTTCGCCTAAACGAGGCAATATATCTAATTTCCCTTAGTAAACAAAATACTTGTTAACATATAAAAATTAAAATGGGAAATGTGGCCCAAAGATGGGCATAATTAAAAGAAATAATTTGCAATTTTGATAATGGTTCCAAAGTAGCCTTTGCTCTTTTATTTTATACATTTATAAGAATAAGATTGCACCAAATTCTTTAAATGAATTATGTCAGGTTTTTTGATAGTAACTATATAAAAAATGTCTTATTTTAAATTTTCAAAAAGGTAATAGTAATATAACAAATATCTTATCTATGACTAGCGAATCTTTGAAGGGGACTCACCCATGCTGATGTCGATGATGGTGAAATCGATGGGTCAGAATTCGCTGCTGATGACCTTGGACCGGCAGACGTCGCTGCAGGGGGACGCAGTTCGCTGTTGGGTGGCAGTGGGTGGTGTTTCCGTTTCCGCCATTTGCGGCATTTCCGGCGACTCCAATTCCATTTCCATTTCGAGCATGCCACAGGGGCAGTCTCTGCACCTTTTTCACTTCCGGCGAGAGACCGGTGATCCGTGTGGCCGCTGCACTGGCGCTCAGCGGGCAGGTCGAATTGGCCAGGTCACTGGCGTCCGTATCCCCATCCTCCTCCCCCTCTGCCTCCTGCTTCGGTGCCGGGGGGCGGCTGCGTCGCGGGGGGCGTGGCAGCGGTTTGGGGGCCACTCGTCGTCGTTGTTGCAACTGATTGCTGGTTGTTGTCGTCGCGCTGGTTGTTATTGTTGTTGCCGCCGATCGGATCGACTTCAGTTTGATGTCGATCAGACCAGGTGGGTGTGGCAAATTATTGTTGTTGTTGTTATTATTATTGTTATTATTATTATTACTCTTACTGCAATTGTTATTCTTGTTCTTGCTAATGCCCTGCCAATGATGTGATTGCATTGGCAGCTGATTATGGAGATGATGTTGCTGCTGGCTCGTTGGCATTGCTGTTGTTGCGCTTGTTGCTGTTGCTGTTGCTGTTGCTGTTGTCGTTGACGATGACGATGATGATGTTGCAGCATGACTCGGCGTCGATCGAAGATCGTTTAGCATTATGTCCAAGTCGCTGGCCAGCGAGCTGAGCAGCTGCAATGAAACGGCAAATGTTGGAGGTTAACAAAGAGTCGGACAAGCCTCCAAATCAAAATACAACATAATGAGCCCCACAATCAAATTCAATCCAATCTACGGAATTAACAAACAGTTCAAGATGTTTTTCAAGCTATCCATTAAATGTCCATAGTGCTTGCTTAACAAGTTTTGAAAAGAATTAGCGCTAAATTAACGGATAAGACCACCTAAAAATCAGTTTTTGTTTTTAATCAAAACCTTCAACTTTGTGAAATTTTGTTTGTTGGAGGTGCGATCGTCACTGTTTTCTTAGCTCGTTCTCTTTTTTCGATAATTAAAAGTAAAGTATATTTCCTCTTTAGTTTCTTATGCACGATTAATTGAGTAAACCTTTTCCGGCGACATGTTGTTCAGAACCAGTATTGCACTTTAGGAAATCATAAAAACGGCCAACGATTGGTTTTTGGTTTTAATAATTACAGTCGTTTGTAATGATTTAATTGATAATGTTATTGGACGAATTTGCATGTGCAAAGTCTGGCTTAAGAATTCTGTTAATATATCGTATGTGGTTACTTAAATAAGTGACTGAGTTCTAGATTATTTTATATTAATTGTAATTTACTAGAAATCACCATAATAATAATAATAATAATATAAATACTTTGTACTTGTTCCAATCATCTCTGTTTGCATGCCCTTTTTCAAGATTTGTAATTGTTTTGTTCAGGATTTATAACTTTAAATTTTTTTAATAACTTTCAAACACTTTGTGAATTCTTGTGAATTTAATATTATTAATATCCTATTTGGTTGATATTTATAAACTTAACGCAAAGAGTAAAAGTTTAATATGTAACGTTTGTAAATGAAAATTTTGGTAGTCCCTTAAAAAAGTCTCTGTTTTTATTATATCCGAAAACAGTCAGACAAATTAAAATATATACTAAACATTTTAGAAGGCAAATAATTTTGCTTGAAAATAAATGTTGATGCCTTGCAATGAAAGAATGTGGTGCCTGTTTTTCCAAGTGCAAGTATCGGTGGCACTTGGACTTAGCCTTCGGATCTGGGTCCGTGAGGAATGTTCGTAGCACAAACAGTGGGCTGGGCTGGGCTTGGGAACTGGAGTTGGAGTTGGGTGATGTCTGGTGGGGCGAATTGGAGGCGAAGCTGAATGCTGCGTACCTGTCCAACTGGTCTTAACTTCCGGCGGTTTGCGGCGAGGCCGTAGTCGATCTCCAATAATTACGCGCCACTGTCTCGGCTAATGCAATAATAACGGGTTTTCGGCGGTGTCCCGTCGATCCGCCTCGCCCACCGCCCCCCTCCCCGCCCCAACAAACCCCCTGAAACCCCCTACCTCCATGTCTGCGGTGCCCCATGTGCAACATGGTTAATGTTAACCATGTCCCGAGTGCCAAAAAAAGCAGCAAAATCCACGTCAACCAAAAGCAAACCGGCTCCCACGCTCTGTGCTAATTTGATCTCCACTTCTGTTTCTTGCCGTATTTTTTTTTTTTTTTGTTATGTCTTTCGGTATTTATAAATATTTCTATGGTTTTCAGATTTTTGTTATTTTTCTGAGGCTTTTTGTTATGGCTCGAAAAACCAGCAGAATTTGGCGAGTTGTATGCAAATGCTGACCAAAGAGTGAAATGAAAAAAATCGGGGAATGAATTGTTGATGTAAGCCAATCGACCATTGCGGCAAAGGAACTGCAAACTGAGCTGTCTGCGATAATGCCACATAAGGTGTGTTTTGAAACCCTCATATATATATTTTTTTTTTACCAAAAAAAAGTCAATATGATTGGGACGCAATACACTTATTATATATCAGTTTTTAATACTGTTTTATTGTAATTTAACTACAAATAAGTTATCAATTAAGTTATGTTAAATTCTAAATAAAAACGTTATGAAATAAAAAATGTCTATAGCAAAATTGCATTAAAAAATGTTAATAAGTTTAATTTAAATCAAATTTTTAAAGTTGCAAATTTAAAAACAAAACAAATTTGGCTAGTTTACTTTTACTTTTACGGGTTGTTGTATTTTCTTTAATACTTGTACAACATTACAAAAAATTTAATTTCTGTACATTTTCAGGTTTTTAAAAATACTGTAATATTATAATTATTTTATAATTTTATTTATATCAAAGCCATTAATTTGTTTAGGTGCAGATCTGACATTAGCACAGGGAATGGTTCCCTTATTCTTTTTCTTTTTTTTTCATGTAATCCGCATCGCGTATTCGCCCCGTTGCACTCCTCAATTTGCAAATAGATAAAACGAAACGAGAAATCAACTCAAACATATGGATTAGCATGTAATATGCCACACTCGCACACAAAAACACACAGATAAAGTCGAGACAAAGACATAGACAAGCCAGCCAATTGAGCAATTGCCACATTCAACAACAAATTCAAATTGAAAATGTGGGCAAAGCAAGCAAAAAAGTAAAAAAAAAATAATGAAAAAAGGAAGTAAAACAAAACTCAACCGCAGAGTGTCTTGTTTGAAGTACAAACAAAACTTCAATTGGCTGCCGGAGAATTGAAGGGGGGGGACTGTTTGTGATTTTGCGGCGGGGAAATATGAAGTCAGTCGGCAATTTCAATTTAGGCATCATAAAAACGAAACGGAGAATCGCAAATTATGCAGTATAAAACTGCAAATTAAATTAAGCAAGCTCCCAGTGATCAATCTGCTTTAGACCCCTTCACTTACCGCTATGGCATCCATCACCGCATTAACCATTTTCCTTCTTTTTCGTTTTTGTTTGTGTCCCTCGAGATTTGTTTCGCTTAACCAGTTGATCCCCTGTTTTAGTGTGTCTTCTGCCTGGTTTCTTATGATTTATTCGACAGTCGGGGAAACATTTTGCATAATTTCGCTTGCTTATTACTGGATTTAAGGTCGCAGTTCCGAATCCAATTCATTTGGTTCCTCGGTCTCGGCTGGATCTTCCTTCGCCACTCCTTTCAAATCTGTTGACATTTAATTAACGACAGGTGGTGGACTCCGCACCCAAATATGGGGGGGTTCTCCAATCCGCGGCAATGTGTACGTGCTCTTTTCCTGTGGGCAGAGAATTTAGAAAGAGTTATGGTTTTTAGTGGGCACTCAGAAAGTGGGATCTGAAAGAAGGCGTTCCAGTCGATGGGATGGATCGCTTCGATTTCAGACTCAACAAAAAAATTATAAATAAAAATAGTAATTAATGGGTTTGAAAGTAGAAAAGGATTGGTAAGTGGGTGTGCAATCAGCACATGATTGGCAAGCCAATTTAAGTATTAACAATTCACATTTCTTTTATTTAATTTCACAAGAAACCTCCGAAATTGTGTTGTTCAACACAAACTAACTTAGCAAAAATCGGAATAACTAAATTGGGAAAGCTGAAAGTTAGGTCATGTTTTATGGATCTTCTTTAAAACTGGAAATGTTTGTCACAACTATGTAAACTTCAAACAAGAAAGAACATTATAGCCCAAAAAAGAGTTTGTTACAATTTATATTGCCTCAGGTTTTGAAAAAACAGTGTAGAGTTAACCATCTTGAAAATTGTCAAGTTTTTATGACTTCTGGTGAAACTTTTTAAAACGACTTAAAATTAATAGTCATTTCTGTAGATCTACAGTAAATAAGATTTTAAATAGACATATTTAAAAGGGAATTAAAGCTTATGCTTGGACTGTTTAGTTTACTTGAAACTTGAAAAGAAACAACAATTTAAGACGAACGTTTACTGGATACTTTCAGGGACATCCTTTAATATACACTATGACTCAGGGATCTGAAAAAACTTTCCAGCATGAAGGCACAAACAAATAAAACAGACGACCCCAGACATCAACTGCCAAATGGAGTATTAAAAATATGAAAAAAGATAAAACGCGCGACTGTCTAAAAGTGAATGTATCTGCAAGATACTCGTACATTCATACGTTTTTAATTAAAACCCAAACGATTGCTCTGCCCCTGTCCAAACATTGGCCCGAAGTTTGTTTGACAATGTCCGTACCCGTGCCCGTACCCGTACCCGTATTCGTACCCGTATTCCTACCCGAAACCCCGCCACGCATTTCATGTGGATTGCGATGGTGATAATGGATAATGGATAATGGCGATGTAGATGTTGATGGTGATGTTGAAAATGGTAAAAGACAAAACCAAAAAAAAAAAAAAAAAACACAAAAAAAAAAAAAATAAACAACTGAAAACGAAATAAAATGAAAAACTCGTTTCACGTATTTTTCCACAATTTTCCGCATCTTATGCTCATTAATTACATTTTCATTTCAATTTCTGCATTTACATAACCATTTCATTTCGACTGTCGGCTGTTGGCTTTTTTATGTGCTGAACTGGCTCAAAGCCACGAAATTCCTCGGCCAGTTGACGGAAGTTGAATTGCAAATGAAATTTTTCCCCAGTTTCAGATACCAGATACAAGATACGCGTGTATACACTCGTATACATCTGACGAATACCAACGGCAATGGCCAGAAGTTTCAACTCAGGCTGAAATGCATTGGTTGTCGCATTTCTCAAAGCCACAAAACGCCAAATCGTTGGCAATCAAACGAGAAGCGTGAAAAAAATACAAGTCAACGATCCACCTGCCCCCTTTCCCCTTCTCCAAGATCCCCAAAATGAGGGGTACGCAGCTCATTACAATAGCTTTAAATGCATACAAAATGAGCGTTTTGTGTTGAAGCTGTTATTTATTTAGCTGCTTCTCACCCCTTTTTGCTGCATAAATTGCCGATCAGATATATCGATGGAGTAATGTCGCACTCGAAATGGAACTCTTCGCAATTTAGCGAAGCTATAGAATTGCTTCTGGCGAAAAATCAAATATAACTCTACGAAGTGAAATTGTGACACTTTTTTTCTGTATAAGCAGTATTGGTTTAATAAACAATATATAAAGTTTAAATTTTGTAACACAATGTTATTAAAGTTATTCAGATACGAATATTAATTATATATTTAACATCAATACTAGAATTATTAAAATTTTGTAGGCCTCAATTTATGGGAAACGAGGAAACCACGATCTTCAGCAAAACTTATATATATTTGTTAAACAAATAAAGTGTAAATTGTCAATACAAGCAATAAATTTTGCTTAAAGTCAATAAATAGGAAAAATAACAAACTTATTCCAAGATTTTATTCAGCTGTCACAGTATCGATATTATTAAACCAATTTCGTGCAGATCCAAACAGGTCTTTGGTTTATTTTCAAACCATACTTTGTTTACGATACTTTTTACGAGATCATTAACCGAATGTGATATAAGAGAAGACAGTTGGGGATGGGGATGGCAAAGAAATATTTGAGGCATGAAATATCAATAACAATATCAATACGACACATGGCGGTCAGCTAACGAGACTGTCGATCGGATCGATCTCTTGGGTTTATCAATTTCGCTCTTATGAATATTTCGGTTTCGCCTCGGTTATTTATTGAATTTGTGTTAAGGTTAAATAGCAGCGTGAAATTGAAATGAATTGTGTGATACAAACGAGATAAACGAGAATCTCGGTCGCTAGATTTCGGCGGGTCTAAAAGTCTAATCTTCTCGGAAAAGTCTTTATCGCTCGGTCGTTTCTGGCCTTTGTGCCGTTTATTTTCCCCGATAAACCTCAACGGCTGGACTGTCAATTGAATGATAAGGCCACTGTGTTCCAGAACCACAACCAGAACCAGAATCAGAGCAAGATCCAGAAACTTTTCTGTACGATGATGATTGCCTTGATGATGTCGCCGATGATGGGCTGGATGGCCTTTCAATCTCAATTGGGCCGAAGGTGATTTCTTCGCCAAGTCAAAATCGATCGCATTTCGTTGCCACTCAATTGATTTCTGGAGTAGATATGGCTGCACAGAGAAAAAATGCCACCATAATTGGTCGGCAATTCAAGACTATTTTGGGTCAATTCGTTAAATTCTTCTCTCAAGTATCCGAAAGTGGATTTAAACCTTACAAGCACCCATTTATCTTAATTTAGTCCAATCAGTTTAAAAAAAGCAATTTGAAGATTTAAAAACAAAAACATTGCGAGGGCATTCATTTCCCAATTTCCTAAAGCTGCATTTATTAAATAATTGTTTTAAACAAAAATTAAAGATACAACAACCTCTTTATACATAATCTCAATAAAATATTTTTGTTGCTTAAAATAAAGTACATTTTCCAAAATTTAAAAATGTTCTTGTTAGCTTTTATTATAAGATTCTTTGTTTGGTTTGAATATATAAATTCAATTTCAGTTTATTGTCTATTCAATTCGTTTGTCCTTTTAAATTGAATTCTTCGATATTCTGACGGTGTATTTCGATGGTGGCACTCGCCAATTGAAATGCATATGGGTCAGCCAGCCAATGGTTCCAATCAGCGAACAACAAGTGTCCCTTTAATTAATCTGCACAATTGCATTGGCGTCACTGCAATCGACATGCGATATGCCTGCCGTCGACTATCTGGCACTTTGTGTATGCGTATCTGTAGATACGGGCAATTCAGATCGCGTTGACCAAGGTCAGTTAGCGAGTGGTTAGACCAGCTCCAGATAAGTCCGGCTTTTGACTTCACACACATATCTGGCAGATAGCTACCATCGCGTTCTGGCCAGACAAAGAAGACTCCGGCTTTTACTTTCCACCAGACACTGAGAAAATCTACTCGCAAGCCAACCAGCCAACTAGCCAGCAAACCAGCAAACAAACACAAGCCGGAGTGAAGGAGACACAATACAATGACGACAGTTTCAGTTTGCACGGACAACAGACGCAACCAGGACGGCCAACCATATCAGCAGCCGTGGGCAAACAGAACGCACCAAAAAACAACACGAGGCGCAATCGAGTCGAGTGTCCCGACCACGCGACACCCATTATTCAAAAAATTCAAAACAATTATAGCAAAAAGAAACAAAAAATAGCCCAACAAATTGTCAAGACTACCAAAAAATTGGGAAATAAGGAATACAATCTAGGAAAGATTAGTCCAGCATGTATATTTTAGGAAAAAATGAATTTCTTCAAAAAAAAATTGTATGGAATTTAAATTTCTATACTTAAAGTTTATGTTTCTATAATTGATTAATCTTAGGAACGAACAAATTTGGAAAAATTAGTTTTGTTTAACATGCAGTCTTAACCTAGGTTATAATACCAAAATAAATCGTATATTAACCGTATCTAACTTTTTTATTTAAGTTTTCTACTAGAGTGACAGTAAATTATGTAATGATCTATAATCGTGGAATCATTAAACTCGAACTGCAGAACTCTTTCACGCTTTATTCTTGTGGTGTTATAACAAAATCTTGAAATTAAACTTCTTTATAATAATATATATATATATATATTTATTTTATATATTCTGTGGGTTAGAAAGATTTTATTATATGTCTTTAGACTGATATATTATTGTTGAATCAAACTGAACAATGATTTATAATCGTAAATTCATGAAACTATCTTAATTTGCCAAACTATTTCAGGCGAAACAACACGATGCGGATGAGCTGACATTTGCGAATTGTTTTATTGTTGTCTTTTTGGCTAAAAAGATCCTTCATTCCATTGTTGGCTGGCTGGAGAAGACGATATATCACTTCGCTCTCGGATCACTGGGTATGATGGAAACAAAACATTTTGTGTGCGGCGCATGGCAACCGAGGGAAGTGGCACCAACTTGCTGAAGTCCCAAGTCCCAAGTCCCAATAAAAAAAAAAATAAAAATGAAGGAGGCGAACTAGATGAGGGACACAGGCGGACCGGCCTTGTTTATGAATACGCGGGCATTGTCTGAATGCGTGATGCCGATGACGATGGCGATGGCGACTGCGGAATGCAGAATGCCAGCGAAACCAGGAAGAGGTGGCTCTGGATCCGAACGAGAATTGGCTGGCCAAAAAGATGCACGAAACAACAGCAAATATAAGATATATCGTATATTCTACGCGATGCAGATACTCTCAACATGTATAGTGTATAGTGTGTACGCAGACAGCGGTCGTGTGTGTTTGGGAACTAAACAAGAAAATATTGACACATAGATTAAGACTTATTAAGGGAGCTCGAGCTCGGTAGTCGTCGACATCAGATCGCTGGGAATGTTGCGACGAAAACTGTGAACTGGGCACTGGAAAAACCGAGATGAAGTTTGAGTTGGAGATGGAGTTGGTGATGGTGATGGTGTTGGTGATGGTGATGGAGTTGAAGTTGGAGCACTGTGACTGTGGCATGTTGCATGTCGCGTGGGGTGACATGTTGCCCGATCTGCCGTCTGCCACAAAAAACACGTGCAGCCGCAGTCGCAGCCGCAGCCGCAAATATATATACATACTATATATGCAGACCAAAGATACAGACACTTGGATTGAGGCAGGTTCGGCCGACGCACACTCATGGCCAATATTTGCCAGCAAATATGGTCGAAATCTATATTTAGACGCTGACGATCCGCCAATCAACCGATCGATCGATCGATCGATTCACAATCCACGATCCCCGATCGTCTTCCTCCAAAAAGCCGGCCTCGAACCCAATACCAAAACCAAGATCCAAAACCGGAGCGTATACACAGACAAAAAAAACTTTTGTAAAGTCAACCATTTAATATTTAAAACTCTCCCTAATAGTTGATTAACTATAAAATGTTAAATACACGGAAATATAGTAGTTGTCCAAAAAAAATTGTATGCACCTATTTTAATTGTGGTTTCTATTTTTGCATAAAAATGCCTTTTTTTTTAGTCATATGGAAGTTATTTATAGACACTTACATTTCATTATTAGTTCAGTTTAATTTTCAGCTTTTCTCTGAGCACTCAGGAAACATTTGTGGACTTAAAATCAACACTTAACAAAAGTGTTGAAAAAAAATATATATTCACTGCAAAAAATTGCCTTATACTAATGACTCACAGATTACTAGATGACACTCAAATGTTCCGAAGAGATAAATATTAGAGACATGTCTATTAAAAAAGATTATCTACATTTCAGAATAGTAGTTTTTAGAATATGACAAAAATAAATAAATTTTCTTAACTATTTAAACATTATATACAAAATAAATGGAATAACAAAACCAACAAAATACATTAAATATTTGCAAATAGGAAAGTAACAATTTTTCTATGTTTATAAAACCATTGGGTTTTTCTTCTGCGTGTAGCGGCATTAATTGGCTTTCTATTGGAACAGTTGGGCACAGTTGGTTAGCGCAAAGGCCAGCCAAAAAGCAAAACAAAGCCGAAACAAAAACAAAAGTGAGACTTGGCCAACTACGAGTATTTTTCGGCTGCTGCGCCCACATGGATTCATGGGACACACGGATATATGGACACATGGATACATGGATCGGTGCTAAAACTGATCGCTAAAACTGATCGCCAATGCAGCGCATTAGTCAAAGTTGACTTTTTTCCAGCGGCATTTGTTGTGTGGGTGTCATAGATCGGTGGTGAATTTTAGCTGAGATCATAAGGGCTTCTCAAGAAGGCAATCTGGACATAAAGTCCAATATGGATATGGTTTTTATTACAGTGTGATCACTAAACAGTCATCAAGTGATTATCGGTAGTCCGCAGATATTGTATACATATATGTCATTTAAAACTCACATATGAAAACCTTATCAAAAGCGAATGTTTATCATGTAACTTCAGAATTAAAATGAGGCCATATTGTTAACTAACGCTTATATCACTTAACAAATTGTAAGGAATTTATAATATAATTTCAAAATTATAATGTTAAACCTGTTTTTAAACCAACTGTGACTAACGCAATAAAAATAAGTCTGTACTTGTAGCGTTAGGATATAAATAAATGAAAATTAAATGAAATTTAATATAGTATACATTTTATTTAGTGACATTCAATTATTTAAGATATAACAAAATGAGATTATATTAACATTTAATATTTGCATATTTTGCTATGTCATAAAATGTTTTAAAAAACTATTTAACAATTAAAGCAGATCGATTGGCAAATTACTCCTAAGTAAAGGTAAATATAAGCAATTTAAAAACTGACCGTTGGATTATTCAGGTGTTAAATTATTGATGTTGGACAAAATCAATCAGTCCAACAAAGTTTAAGCGAAGAAGCTGCAACCACTTTAATAACTACAAGCAGAACATCAGCTTTTAGAGTTAGGCAAAAACATATTTATTGGAAAGCGCCCGCGGGAAGATTAACCCAAGAATAACTGTGCACATCGGGGGTCTTATAAAGTGTGTGTATTTAAATGACCATCGTGATAAACAACTAAAATATATGACTGGATTAGTAAGTCTATATGCGATGTGCCCATGCAGAGCTAAGATCATTAGCGGAGTAAACCACTGGCGATCGCTATCAACGAAACTGGGACGGCAAACAGATACAGATACAAATACAGATACAATGTCGGGTAACGCTAAATGCTAAGCTCTAAACTCTACCTGAACTGGACTGCGAAAGAAAAGAGAGCTAGAAAGCAACCCATTGATAAGAAAGGCTGCCGCAGTGGACTATCTAAAGCTAATAGCTACGACAACCGCAAATTGCATGAGAAATTCCATATCAAGACAGTGGGTTCAGAAAGCGAAGGACGGGAGGGGAGGGGTGTGGAGGGAAGAGGAGGGGGGGTCAGGTAGTGAGACACAGGTAATGACAGTAAACATTCTCCAGTTATCAGCAATCAGCAGTGATGCACGCACAGTGAACAAAATTAAACATATGTATCTTAGTTAAAGTAAATGAATCAGAACATTAAATTACCACAAATTTAACTAGTCAAATTGTAGTCCTATATTAAGAAATTAAACCAATTTTGGTTTGATTTTGTGGGATATAATCAACATAAGCAATTCTAAAAATATAAAAAATTCTAAAGTGAAAAATGAAATGAAATAGAAAAATTAAATAAAAATGAAATGTACTAAAAGTATTTATCCTTTTTTAACTAGCAAATACGTATATTTTATTTAATAGCTATCTAAATATATTTTTGCATTAATGGTTCCAGAGTATTTTTATTTAATACTAAGACTGCCAAATATCCTAATAATATTCCAGAAAAGGGTTAACAATCAGCTCCTTACTAAGTAATCAGTGTATTATATTAGAATTATTAATGGGGTTTTGTATAAGTAAATTTGAATAAGTTTCCTTCATTGCGCAGCATTATAATTTTTGGGAATATCATTAAGACGAGGTTGACTCACTTAAAATAATACAAATTTATGTACATATGTATATCTTCTACGAAATGTTCTCTCTGTGCACTTGTTTAAACCGCAGTGAGGTAATATAGACCCGATTCCGCGCAACTGAAACGCTTTTGTGGTGGCTTCGGTTTTGGTTTTGGTTTCGGGCTTGGATTTAGGATTTTGGCTTTTGGCTTTCGGTTTTGGCATGCGATAAGGCGACTGAATTTTTGGTCAAAAAGAGGAGGGGAGTGGAAGTGCTAACAGCGGCTGATTAGCCATTTCAGCAATTCGCAGCAATCCACACAAATTATCAAAATTCGAGCTGTTTATCATCAGGTGCGTGATAGCAGGAGGGCGGTGCCCGACGGGAGAAAATGACAACGGCGGCAAAAATGCGAATGCGAATGCGAATGGGAATGATGGGGGTATACTATATGTATAAGAAAAGGTGCTTTAAGGTGGACTGCGAATACCTGGCCGATTAGCAATCCACTGTCAAAATGCATTGAAAGCGAAAGACGACACTAAAGGAAATGCGCTCCAAAAGGTGCAATGTACTGAGTGGGCAAAAAAATCAAAAAAAAAAAAAAGAGGACGAGAAGAGAACGCAACGCACTTTCGGCGAGAGAGAAACGCACTCAAAGAAAAATCGGGCAATCTATAAAACAAAATAATATGTTCCCCCTTACAAAATTTTACACTTATATATTTCAACACTAGATGAGCAATAAACCTACTTAGGCTTTAAGATTAAACATTTAAAATTGATTAAGCAATTTTGGTAAATGTGCCTTGATTGTTAAAAGTCTATTTTTCCATCATTTAAGATTATGTTTTCGGTAAAAAAAATGTATTTAATTTTTTTAATTTGTTTATTGATCAGTTAAGATATTCATAGATTAAAATTATATGTTAAACATAAACCATTATTTCTTAAAGAAGCTTTACCTTACAGCAGCAGCTTTAGTTTAAGTTTGTAAATAAATTTATTAATTTAATTGTTTGTCAAATTTATCTTAAATTTAATGCAACATTTAAATCATTTACACACAAATAATGCATTTATATCAAAATAATTTTGATCGAATGTAGAAAAGCCAAGCAAAATTGTTTTAATATTTCTTCCGCCAATTATTACAGTGAATACAACTTTTTTTTAGTATCGCACTGATCCCAGTAAACACTGTATTTTCTTAGAGTGCCAAAAATAAAGGGCGAGTGTTGAAGAGTGATCGAGGAGGAGTCCGCGTGGTCGCTGAACTTGAACTTGCCGCAGGATGGGCAAGTAAAATATATGGACGGGGGGCTACTACATACTATCATCACATTCAATAAATTTATTACCAGGGGAACGCCAACGCCACCCAAATCGAAACTCTGGAACTCTCGATCTGGAGAACTCTGGAGCCTGCTCCAATTTTGTGCACACTCGTCGGCAAAACTCCACTACCACTTCACTTTTCGCACTTAACTTTGCTGTTGTTGTTGTTATTAAACAATTAAATATAAATAACACAACGATGTGGTGCAAAAGCACAAAAAAAAAAAAAAGGGAACAGAATAGGAGGAAATAAAAAAATATGTGTATTTAATTGAGCGCGACACGCAGCGATCTTGTGCGACACATTTCAGCTGCAGCAATAGCAATTCTCGCGATCGTCTAGCGCCGAAACGCTTTATGACTACGACTACGACTACGACTGCGACTACGACTTTTGACTCGACTCTCGCTGTTGGGTATTCAATTTTGGTTTCTTCACTTCGGTTTTCGGTAGAAGGCGGTACCGGTGTACAAACGCGACGACCGACTGTGGCCGAGTGCGAACTCGAACTGAACTGAACTAAACTGAACTGAAGTGAAGTGAAGCCGCCGACAAAACGAAGATCGCCGCCAATCGGCGACGCCAGCGGCAGCAGCAACAACGCTGTGCGATAATAACACCAGCAACAACAACAGCAGCAACAACAGCAGCAACAGTAACAACAGCAACATCAACAACACACCAGCAACATTACGAGATGCGAAACGATTGCGCACTGTGGTCACGGCGCTTTGGAATATTCTGTCGGAAGATCGCTAAACTATCAGGTATAAACATCAAAAAATTCTACTTACTTTAACCATTTTGTTTTGGGGGGACGGGCTAAATCACCCATGATACAAAAAAAAATGTAAACCCTTAACTGGGTTATACAATACAGTTAGAAGGCCGAAAAAAATAATATAATATATAATATAAATAAAAATAAAAAATATATATATCGGTGAAATAAAAATATTTAATAAATTACTAAAAAATGTATTTAAAAAGCTAGTGTTAAAATCTGAGACCAATCGGTCTAGCCGTTTTCGAGTAATGTGGTCACCGACTTTGAAAATCTTTTTGTTTGTGATATGGAGCTAAGTTATTAAAATTTAAAATAGATACTCATAGAATTTTACCTCATTGTCTTTATGTACTTTAATTTACTGTGGTCACTGTGGCCATAGGGCCGGATGATCGCCAATCAAAAAGGTATTTCTCAATCTAAACATTGAAAGTGTCAAGTCTCAAACAAGCCAAAGAAAATAGTCTTCTAAAACCCAAAAAGTTGTGCTTTTAATTTAACAAATTTGTAAACTGTTCCAAAATCACATTTGTTATATCTGTATAATTTAAGTTGTGAGCTATGGACTGGTTAACCAAATAGCTAAGTCATGTGAAAGTCAACATTTTAGATTTCCCTTATAACAGTAACATTCGTTTCCATGAATATGCTGACCAAATCAATATACAGTGTTGTGAAATGAGACTTTGGATTGTCAGATAATTTTGACACCTACAATTTACATTGGCAAGCAGTTATTCTTGTCTTGAGCTAAATTGCAGTTGCAGATTTGTTTTAATTTCACAATCTCTTTAGTTTTCCCTTTTTTTTTTGCTTTACGGCTTGCCCGTGTTCTGCTCAGTCAAAACTTGGGGGAAAAAAGTTTATTGAAGTCAATATAACAGCTTTTGTAATCCCGCGAGTGGTAAGGGAAAAACTTTACATGGAAATACCCCAAAAAAATTGCCATAGAACCTAAACTATTGTAATATGAATTTTAAGCTATTAGGTATGAAAAAAGTCTCTATAAGATGAGCATTTAATAAATACCACTAAAGTTTTAGACTATTCGGAAACGAATTAAAACTTAAAAGTATAGGGGCTATGTTATTTAGTACTGATTTAAAAATTATACTTTAACACTGACAGATGTTCATTTTCAAGACACACTTATTAAAACTAATCTTGTAGTTTTTTTTTTGTGTGTACATCGACTTGGCTGTTTATGCTTATAGTGTATCAAACAAAAACACTTCTTCACAAGGTATGAATAAACTGACGAGCGCATCTTCAACTACAAAAATTTCTGATATCAATTTTTTTAACGACTATTTATTTATTTTACCAAGAATATTAACATTATTTTTATTAAATAAGTTTCGTAATCGGCACGCTGGTGTAATTTACTTTTTTAGAGTCTTAGAATAAAAGCCATACCTTTTGATTGCAATTTTTTTTGGCTTATTTTCAATATATATTGTAGTCTCACCGGGGCTCATCGTCACTACGTGGACGGCAGTCCACAGAGATATCGGCGAAAAGGAGTCTTTTTATTTTCTATTTAACTTCACTTCCCCTTCACACTTTTTCTTTTGATTCTAAGATAAACTGTTACTTTAGCTTTGTTATCAGTTTGTGTTTGGTACATATTTGCACGAGAAATGGAATTTGAGAAAGATGACGATGCCTTACTCGAAAAGAATAGAAGCCATTATTTCGTGGGCAGAATGCGGCTTGTTTGCTTCGCTTGACATTAAGCTACATTTGATATGTGCTCCCATTTTAAGCTCTCACTTTTTTCAAGTGTGTAAGTGTACTTTAGAATTGAGGAACGCGCCGATTACCGATCGACAATTGCCGATAGCCGATTAGCGATCACACACCCTGCATTTTCACCCATTCCAATGACAGAAGCTTCTGTTTTTGTTTCCCATTCCAGCTCTTCTATTTCGATATTCAGGTTTTTTGCCACCCCATATATTACTGTGTTGTTGGTGGTGTGCCATTGTATCGCGTCGTCGATCTCATTCGCAAATTATCTTTGTTTGCGAAATTGTAATTGTTTTTGCCATGCACAATTCAGCAAGAAACCCAAGAAAGGAGCGCTAGTTTTTAAGGCCGAAGTGAGAATACTCTTGACCATAAACTTGAAATAATTTTGTAAAATCACGTACAGTTTAAATTACAAAAAAAATTTAAAGTATTCTGCTAAATATATATACAAACTAAATAAACGGTGTCATCTGTAATTCTTTATATCAAGCTAAATTAAAAATCCAAATTAGTTTTTACGGCCTTACAAACGCAAAAGACAATGGTTGCTTAAAATTGTATTATCAACTCCAGAGCTTAAGGGCTATATATAATATCTTACCTGGTTGTGCCGATAAAAACGGTATATATAATATTTTTAATGGAAAAGAAAAAATTTCCTAACTATTTCATACCCAATAATAAAAATAATAATATATTGTCATTTAAATTGTGCCTTAGCTTTGTTAATGCTTGAAGGTTATATTACCTTCCCTGGTTATAATGATAATAAATATATATATTTTTAATGAACAAAGAAAAATTTCTTATAATAACATAACATAAATAACACAATAAAAGAGTATACCAAACAAAACGAGGAAAAACACTTAGGGAAAATATAATAATGTCTGTTTTATATTTTCATTTCAATGTGCCGTAGTTTCAGCTATTCTAATAACATTTTAGTGATATTTTTTCTCTGTGCAAGCAGAGTGCTTAACAGCAGCACTATTGTTGTGGTCGATAATGGCTTTTCTGTTTACTTTTTGCTCGTCCCCAAAAGCAGGGCGTGTTCGCTGCTTTGTACTTTTGTTTTGTTAATAGTTTTTTATGGCTCTGCTTAGCTGTTTTCCTGTTGTTTTATTTTTATTATACCTTGACATAGGGTGCTTAAATTTTAAAGCTAGGATTCGCATGCCTTTTGGGAGTAGTTTATATCTTATAATAATAATCAATAATAATTAATAATTAATATAAAATAAATAAATATTTTTAAGCAAAATACTTTTCTGGAGACTTTAAAACCTTTTATTTGTGTTTTAATACAATAACTATTTGTAAAATATTATAGTTATAGAACTTAAATTATACAATATAAATATAATAATAGTATTAATATTGTTTAATATGTAAAGCTATGAAACTATTTAACATTAGATATAAAATTGAATATGCACTACATGGGAATTTTCTAAATATTTAAAAAGAAATCTAAGAAGTCATTTTAATGTTAGAACCACAGCTTAAACGTTATGTGAAACTCGAGACTACTATTAGTTATATCTATTAACATTATACATATATATATATATACTTAAAACATAAAATCAATGTTTTTTAATTTTAACTTTGAACAAACACCTACGGATCGTAGAGACCTACCTCTACCCTACCTATTTATGTACTTATTTTTTATTCCTGGACTGTGTCCCAGTAGCAAATCATTGAACTATGCTGGGTCTGAGAGTCGGATTCCGATTTTGATTCCGATTCTGGGCTGCTCTGTGTGGGTTGCGGATTGCCATTGTCATTAAGTAGTTTGCTTTTCGCTTTTCGCCTTTTACTATTACTACTTCTCTTCTATTGTTTTTATTTTTCTTTTATGCATTTGTTTTCCTAACAATAAATGATGGGTGAAATAACAAATGAAACACATGAAGGAGAAAACAACAAACAAAACCGAATAATTAACAGTTTTTCTGGTCAGTGAAAAAATTTGAGCCGTAAAGCGATAAACTATAGGCCAGCTCAAAAGAAAAAATCACAAAAAAAGTGTTGGTTTTTTTTAGTAGTAATATTCTTGTGTAATAGTTATAGTTAGACATATAAATCTGATCTATTTTCCATTAAAGATAAATCAGAGAAAAAAGTAAATATCGTAGTAGTAGTTTGAAACAATATTTACATATGTATCATGAACGAGAAAATATGATAGTCACAAAAACTCAATAAAATTATTCTCCTACGATATCAATTCCTCCGGGCAATTGGAAGATAATAAATATAATAACCATAAAGACGATAGCTTTCTGAAAGAGGTTTCGGCTCATTTTTTAAATTATTCAAAAATAAAATAAAATAAAATAAAATAAACAAAGAAAGGAAGCAAACTTACATATGCATTCCAAAGTTTATATACCATATTTACTATTGCAAAAATTAAATATTCTTTAAAACAATTGCATACTGATTTATTAATTTTTCTGATTTTTTCAATGAGAGCTTAATGATATAGTCTTCCGTTTCTACTAAATTTAAAACAGTAATTCTAAAAATATTACCCCATTACGATATCCCGAAAAACATTGAAAAAAATTTAAAAACAGGAAGTTAAAAAACTTTTGGGAAAGTTTCATGCGTAGAAACGGACGGACGAACAGACGGATTGGATTATAATATATAATATATGTTGTTAACGAGTTGATTATCCCCTTGCATTTGCGGGGTAACAAAAGTCTTTTATCCATTCTCCGTCAAAAGCCTTTTAAAGCCCGCTTTACAATGGCTTGAAAATAGTGAGTTTTATTTTCCCATTCACTCTCGACGAAGAATGAGTGCTTGTACAATCGTCCGATTAAGTGGCTCATTAGCTGCGGAGGAGGTCATGTGAACAGTTTAGGGAAATTGCATAAGCGGTCCGCATTCTCACGGGGGTCGGAATCGAAGTCGGAGTCCAGGGCACAAGAAGTTGTGGAAGTACACCTGTTATAAAAACGCCCAACCCCCGAACAGTGGGCTAATGGAAGTTTAGCGTTGCAAGAACATACCTTGCCGCCCACGACAAAAAAAACCCACAACCAACGACCAGAATTAATGCGAACGTGGCGCATGTTGCTAATGTATCCCTTATTAGCGGACGTACGCATTCCCATCCCTCATCCGAATCCTCAACTTCATCCCAATCCTCATTCCCAGTCCCCGTATTCCGTATCCTGCATCCTGTGTCCTCGCCTAATCCACTGGAAACATCATTTTGAGCACCTGTTTAATTGCGTTAATCACCAGGAGCAAACATTGTTGCCAGCGCCATTAGATGCTGGGGCAGGGAAATGATTATGATGGGGACCGAGGACCGCGATTACCGCGCTTTTTCGCTTTTGGCGCTCTCAGCACTTCGACCTTTTGACCCCACCCCAGAGTGGCAATACTAATGCTAATTTTTATGTACTTTCTCCTGGACGCAGCTGGCTGAAAGTGTCGTTGCTCCCTCATTCCGCAACTGAGTGGCCATATAAACTGCACTAGTTTTGAATGTGACACCGTTTAAGCCTGTTTTAATATGGATTATAGGCCGTTGGAGCTTTACAAAAAATTTTATTTCAATACTACATAAGACCCTGATGTACAATAACCTTTTGTGCCAAAACAAAATTAATTGTTTTAAATCGATCGGGGGCGGTTGGTATAGGTTGCTAGTTGTTCAAAATATCAACTCTTTTGACTTTGGGTCTTATTTTGGAAAAATAACAACAAAAAGACTCTTCACAAATAATTATGTTTGAAAAATCGCCAAAAATCCCAAAAAACACATTAAAAACTTGGTTTTTGTATCAAAACCCTGGGAAATAATGGTCAAAATGTGGAATGTCATACACCGTTGAATTCGTAATAAAATTTCCAATCGAATGGCATTCACAGTTAAAATTTTTTCAGATTTTCGAATTTCTGCAAAAAATGATGATGTACCCCCTTACAAAAAAGTCAAAAATTTGGACAAAAATAAATTTGTCAAAAAACGTTTTTTAAAATTCGGTTTTTGCGTCAAGACAAAATAAATTGTTTTCAATCGATCAGGGATAGATGGTATGGGTTGCCAGCTGTTCAAAATAGCAACTCTTTTGACTTTGGGTCTTATTTTGGTAAAGTTACAGCAAAAAGACTCTTAAGAAAAAATGTTGTTTGAAAAATCGCCAAAAATCCCAAAAAACACATTAAAAACTTGGTTTTTGTGTCAAAACCCTGGGAAATAATGGTCTAATGTTGGAATGTCATACACCGTTGAATTCGTAATAAAATTTCCAATCAAATGGCATTCACAGTTAAAATTTTTTCAGATTTTCGAATTTCTGCAAAAAATAATGATGTACCCCCTTTTCAAAAAACGTTTTTCAAAATTCGGTTTTTTTGTCAAAACTAAATTAATTGTTTTCAAACGATCAGGTATAAATGGTATGGGTTGCCAGCTGTTCAAAATAGCAACTCTTTTGACTATGGGTCTTATTTTGGTAAAGTTACAACAAAAAGACTCTTCATAAATAATTTTGTTTGAAAAATCGCCAAAAGTCCCAAAAAACACATTAAAAACTTGGTTTTTGTGTCAAAGCCCTGGGAAATAATGGTTAAATGTTAGAATGTCATACACCGTTGAACTCGTAATAAAATCTCCAATCGAATGGCTTTCATTAACCAAAACGGATTTATAAAAAAAAGGTACTTTTATTTTTAAATATTTTTATTGTTTCCATGGGAGCTTTATGTTATAGTCGTCTGATTTTTATGAAATTTTAACCGTAATTCTGAAATATTTAGCCATTACTATATCTCGAAGATCTAAAAAAAAAATTAAAAAACATCAAAGTTATATTTTTTTTTTCGATTGTTCCTATGGGAGCTATATGGCTCGAACCGACTTATATACTACCTGCAATAGGGTCGGAAATGTCTCCTTCACTGCATTGCAAACTTCTGACTGAAATTATAATACCCTCTGCAAGGGTATAAAAACAAAGCAATATTTTAATTGATCGGGAATTTCTTACCAGAATACAATGCGAAAGTTAGCTAAGAAAAATACGTAAGGTTCAGAGCCTTTTAACATTTTGGAAGCACCACTCAGACTGCCTTGACGAATCTGGCGACCCGGATCGATGATGTCCGACTCCGATTACCGCTTCAAGATCCTCATCCTGGGCGACTCCGCCGTGGGCAAGTCCTGCCTGCTGATGCGCTTCGCCGACGGCTGCTTCACCGGCAAGCACGAGGCGACGGTGGGCGTGGACTTTAGGGTGCGCCGCGTGGAGGTGGCCGGCAAGGTGGTTAGGCTGCAGATCTGGGACACCGCCGGCGGGGAACGCTACCGGGCGGTGCTGCCCGCCTATTATCGCGGCGCCCATGGCGTCCTGCTCGTCTACGACACCACTTCGGCCAGCAGTTTCCGTAGCATCGATAGCTGGCTGGACGAGATTAGGCGCCGCTGTTCCGATCGGATCACCATAATGCTGGTGGGCAACAAGTGCGACGATTTGAAGCGGCGCCAGGTGAGTCAGTGCCGGGCGACCTACTATGCCGCCCATCGCCAACTCGCCTTTTGCGAGGCATCCGCCAAAAGTGGCACCAATGTGAGTCTCTTGTTCTTCGACCTGGCGGCCAGCATCTTCAATCGTCTGGTGGTCATGGCCCCGCCGACCAAGCGCCTCCAGGCCGGCCACGATGGCAACGACGAACTGGGTGAGGGGCATCCTGGCCAGAGCCGCACTTTCCGCTTGGACAACAAAGGTCAACTGGGGTGCACGGGCGTGGGGTCCTGCTTCTGTTAAAGTCCTTAAATGAAGCAGACAACATCATATTATAGTTCATATTCAAATATATAAATTAGTACTTTTCGCTTTGATTTTCATTTCTTGCTTATTTTTAAATATTTTAAATATGGAAATATTCCTTTTTTTTTGTTTTCATATTTATATATTTATGTGTTATCAGAATACATTCTAATATCTAATATACTTAAATATATTGCTTTTAAGCCAAAAAGGTTCAATTTTAAATTAAATATTAAGTATTTTCCACATTAATACAAATACATTATGTATTTAAATTAAACTAGGCATTGTATTTAAAACTACTATTTTATATTTAACTTAGACATGAAGTAATTAATTTTGGATTGATTTTTACTATTCCATTTTTTTGCTTGATAAAGTCCTTTTAATATGATGTTCAATTTTATTCAAAATCACTTTTAATTTACTTACATAAAGTTAATTGAAAAGGTTCATTAACAATTTTCCATAACAAATGCATTTTAAATGAAGTATTTTCCCATTTGAGCGCGTTACTTTTCAAGCGTACGATTTAATTTTTGTCACGTTGAAAAAATTACAATGCCAACTTGTTAGCACTAGAGAAACCCATTTCAGATTTAACAAGCTAATGGTAAATTACTAACATTACATTTACAAACTAATAATGAAAATCCTTTGGTACCAAAAAGAATCGATATTTAAGTTTTTGTTTTATTTTAAAATTGTATTTTAATACATTATAAATAAGACTTATTTTTGTTTTGTCCACAAAGAGTATATCTCAAAATGTAAGACAAACTAAATTATATTCGCTTAAAGTTGCATATAAATCAACAGAATTGGTAACGAATTATGGTAAAAATTCCAACAATCTTTTTAAAAAAAAAAAGAGTTCCGAATAACGTTTTTTTTGTATTCTCGAATCTCATTTTTTTATACAATTTGTCTGTTTTCAGATCACATACTATAAATAATATCTCCTATTTGGCTTTATTTTTTACAAAAATTACATAGATATTTTGGCTTGGGCCAGGTCCTATTATCATTATTAATTCATTTTGATACATCCTGGAAAACCATCCCCTAGTGTTTGACATGTGCCTATTATCTCATTCCGCCCCAAACACTGCAATCAAATCTTTTCGCAATTGTCCGGCCTCAATTTATTCGGGATTACTTTCATGTCCTCGGCGGGGTTAAATAAGTGGGCGGGTCTCGTTGACCGACAAATGTGTCCACATAATCAAAGAGCCTTGCCCTCGTCACCATCATTGCATCAACTTATGTCTTTGAATAGTGAACAGAAACTATCCTTACTAAGCCCTATATTTTGTGGTCTTCGCTGTAAGCTTTAAGTAGGTTTTGAACACTATTCTTTCAAAATAAAACCTTCTTCTATCTTTCAAAGTCGGAGAGCAACATTACTCAAAAACGGCATAACCGATTAGTCTCAAAATTTAACACGAGCTTTTTAAATATATATTTTTTAGTAATTAATCGAAGATTTTTTCTCACCGACACTTTTTTTTCTTTATTCCCTCGATTAACATCTGTTTGGTTTTTAAATATCGGAGTATCCAGTTCAGAGATATAATGGAACTTGTAAGTACCATTCAAAAAGTTACAAACAAATTTTAATAACTATAGTTCTTTTGAGGTTTATTTGGGTGTTTACCCATCGTAACATAATGTGAGCTTTGTGAAAAAAAACGGGTTTATTGCAATTAATGCAATTCATAATAAATAACATGCATTCGGGAGGCATAATAGAGCGCATAGCGAATTCAGGGCGCACGGTGTCGGTGGCGGGGGCTCAAACGAATTAAGTCGGCTCCTTGGCGTACTTGGCGAACAGCTGCGTCAGCTTGGCGGTCAGGGCATCCTGGCCAGCGTGGGACAAGTTGCCGACGGCATGGGCCCAGTTCTTAACCACAAGTTCGGGGCTGCAGGTGGCCGTATTGATCTCCGGCACGAATCGCTGCGGCACAACTTCCAAAATGGGCTCCGCCAGCGACTGATTCAACTGCTGCGGCGTGCGGACCTTCAGCTGGCCCCTCGGCGTCACCTGCTTGTAGATCTCGGTCATGTGGCGGTAGTACTTGTGCCCCATGGTGCAGCGATGCGTTGGGTCCGTGATTTTGAGGACGCGCATCTCGCGCAGAGCATACTGCAGACACAACCGGCATTCAGTCACTGCAAAGAAATGGCATACAAAATGTTTTAAAAACGATTATTCTATAAAAATCATTTACTATCCGCAACAGAAAAAGAGAGAAACCAAACTATGCATTTAAATGATAAACTTGGGAGATCGATTCCATATTGCATACCTGTGGCATTCATCTCCTTTGAGACGCGCACCCAGGCGGCTCGCTTGTCGATGGTGCTGGCCCGCTCGAAGGTGTGCGGATGGCGGCGCAGCACCTGGGTCAGCTGGAAGGCCTCGATGGTGGGCAGAATGGTGCCGAAGCGGGTGTTCTCAGTTGCTGGGGCGGTCGCCGCCACACCATTGCCGCACTTTCCTGTATCGTTTGTTGTCTGTTTAGTGGAAGCGGTAGATTCTACCATTGGTGCTTTGGGTGAGGGCACAGGATCTGTGTGAGGTTGGGCTACTGGTGCCAGGGCATTGGTGCTCAACTGGAAGGCGGCCTCCGATCTGCCCGGACGACTCAACTGGCCGGTGAGCAGCCGCTTGGCCTCCTCCGTCTCCCAGGGCATCGACTCCTTGGAGAGGCGCGCCAGAAGGCTGCTGGGCGTGGGCTTGCTCTTGTCGGCAGGATCGGCGGCCATCAGAGCTTCGTACATGCTGCAGCGCTTCACCTCCTCGGAGATCTTGTTGTGCACAATGTAGTAGTACGGCTCGAGCGGATGGTAGCGCACGTAGGCCAGGAACCTCAGCTGCTCCAGTGCCTGCCACCAGTTCTGTGGCCATGGATTTTCGATGCCCCGCTCCAGATCCGCCATGTACGTGCGGAAGGCGAACTTGAACATGGACCAAATGTCCCGATGATTGACTGCAGTAAGTGAATAAGTGGATATATATATCAGCTGGGTGGGATGATGGGTGGAATGGGATGGGTAAGTGGCACTTACGATTGGGAAACTTTATGCGGGCCACGCGCCACACCTCCTGGCGCTCCTGATCCGTGTACTGTCGCGGTGGCGTCACCTTTTCGCCGGGACGCGGTTTGATCAGGTCGCAGTAGAGGTGCTCGTGCTTCCGGAAATGCCGGATCACATCCGGCAGCACGTCCTTGTGCTCCATCCACAGGTACTTGCGCGCAATTTCGTCGAATTTGCTGAACAAGCGGTGCGACTTCTCCCACACCTTCACGCTGCTCTTGAACGGACGCATCAGTTCCGACATGGGCGCGATCAGCGGGAACATGCTGATGTTGTCCGCCAGAAAGCTCCAGCACGCCCGCAAAGCTTCCTCTGCAATGGACAATGGATAAATGATACGTAAATAGAAGCCTCAAGGTGTGGCCATGTCCCATATTATACTTATTTATAATATATATATATTTTTTTATTAATTAATCGAAGATTTTTTCCCACCGATAAATATTTTTTTTATTAACAATTTAAGACCGACATTTGGGTGAAATTCGAAATATTTTCATTCGATTAATTACTTGATTTAACATTATTTTAACGAAATATGTTTGGTTTTTTTTCATTTCGAAGGATCCAGTTCAGAGATATAGTGGTAATTTTTGAGAGGAGTTCCCGAAGTTGAGTTATAGCTTCTTTGCAAACAAATATTTTTACTATAATATTAGGTCTTAAAATACAATCAAAAGATGCCTTTTATATGTGAATAAATTTTCAAGTTTTCCAAGCAAATATTGTGTAAAATTCGCTTCTTTTTGTCCTTGTAACTGTATACAATCGCTTAATGGTTAGCAGACACACTCACCTGGCATGTGGAACTTCTTGCTGATGACCTTCCAGACCTCGTCACACTTCTCGGCCAAGCGCGCATCCTTCTTGTGCAGCTGGGGCACAGCCATCACCTCGCGGATCAGCGTCGCCGTCCTCACCATATTGAGATTGTAGCGTGTGGCCAGGTTGCCGCCCCAAATATGCAGCAGATTCCCAGTGACCGCACTCTGCTCCAGATGCACTATTATTTCGCTGGCGTTGATCTCCGCCGTTGTTTCTTTATCGGGTTGCGGTGCAACTGATGCTGCTGCTGTCGTCTTGACCACTGCTGCAGTCTTTGCATTTGTAAATGCAACTGATGTTGCTGCTGTTGCTGTTGTTGTTGCTACTCCTATTGTTGCTGCTGCGGGAATGGTTGCTGTTGCTGAAGGGGCTACTGTTGCTGGCGTTTCTGGTATGGCTATAACTTCTGTTTCTGTGGCTTTAGCCTCTCTTGCAGACGCAGTCGATGCAGTTGTAACTTTGGTTGTTGCTGCCGTTGTTATTGTGGCCAACTTTGCTGCTGTTGTGCCTGCCATTGCCGTTACCTTTGGCATGCCCACCGGTGCCAGAGGAGCTGAGAAAGTGACTCTAGGTTCTACAGCAGCTTTACTTATCCGGATTGTGCCCGGCGGTGCTGGTGCAATTGGTCGATATTTTTGTAGAATTGTCGCAACTGTGGCTTTGCCGCTTGTGGCTTCTTCTCTTGTTGCAGCAGTAATGGTTGCTGTTGTTGTTACTGAACCCATGGATTTGCTGGTCGATGAGCCATTGGGCAACGCATCCCATCCGCTGTGCAGACCTGGCTGATGGATCCTCACCATTGGCGTGCCCGCCGGAGCCGTTACTATGCTGCTGTTCGCCGGCATTTTGCGTACCAAAGTGGCCGCCGGTTTCAATATGGGCAGCGGAGTCGACGGCACCGGCACCGGTACTGGAACTACTGAAACCGGCGGATCACTGAGCAAGGCATTTAGCGACGTCGGTTGACTAAATCGCTGCATTTGCACTCCGCTGGCCGCTGGCTGTGGCGCTGGCTGTGGCTGTGTCTGTTTCTGTGGCGCTGACTGTGCTGGCGCTTGCATCGGATTGGCAATTTTCACCGCTCGAATGATGGTGGACGAGGACGTCATCTGCGTGGGATTGGGCACACGCTGGCGGGTCTTCAGCGTCACCTGCACGCCGGGCCGTGAGGGCAGGGCACGCACTGTACCACCCGGACTGGCGTTCGTGCCGGCCAACTGAATGCTGGCAGGGATGGGGCCCAAACCCATGGGTGCCTTGGGTGCAATCCGTACATTGGGCGGCAGTTTCATGGGAACTATGCTGGGCGGCGGTGCCTTCATGGGCATCATGTTGGCGGCTGCCACACTTATGGCGGATGTGATTTTGGGTATGACAAACGAGGGAACCGATGACTCGGCTGAACTGCTCGCCATGGTGACTGTTGGGCCAGGACCACAACTATTCCTGGCATTCGAGATGATGGAACTGGAGCTAGTACTGATGCTAGTACTGGAGCTAGTGCTATTGCTAGTGCTAGTGATTACTTTGGAGGCAGGCGGGTAGACAATGGCCAGTGGCAGGCGGGCGACAGGGGGGGCGGGTTCAACGGGCGGCAAGACAGACGGCAGAACGGCACCATTGTGGGGGCGCTTGTAGCCGCGACGAGCGGTACGCGTGGCCACCTGCTTAAAGATGCTACTGAGGGCGTTCTCGAAGTACCACTTGTCCTGCAGCTGATAGCCGGCCAGTCGCATGGCCTGCAGTTCGTTGTGGAAGGAGCGCAACACCAGCCAGGTGACCTCGCAGCGTTCGTGGCTGCACATCACCTCGAAGCCGACCTTTGTCCAGAACTCATCGTAGCGCGGCGGCTTCACCTTGAACGCCAGGCACTCGTCCGTCAGCTGGACAAGCTCGGGCATATTGCGCATCGTATTGATCAGCGACATCACGCTGCGGAAGTGCTCGATGGGCTCATGCCAACCGGTCTGCAGGTATTTGGAGGCTTTGCTCACAGTGTTGCGCTGGCGCAGGACATGCTGCCGCAGGAAGTCCATCAGTTGGCACAGTTCCGAACTGTTGCTGCTGCTGCTACTGCTGCTGCTACTGCTGCTCTGAGACAGTGGCCGATGGACCAACTCCCATTCGTAGCGCGTCTGCAGCTTTAGCCAACTCTTCATCAGCTTGGTGGCCTTGTCATGCAGCTCGTTGGAAATGGCGCCCCAGATGAGGCCACGATGTCGTGTGTTCTCATAGCCCGGCGCCTGGGGATCGTACAGCTGGGGATAGGCGCGCACGGCCTCGATGAGGCGACGCTGGTCATTGGTGCAGCGATAGCTGTAGACCGACTCCTCCACGAGATCCACATCGATGATGTCCACGGGCGGCGGTTCCACGAACTCCACCTCCGGAATGGTATCCACACTTGCCGTCGACGCTATTTCAACGGCAGCCGCCGCAGCCTCTGCCCCCGGCGGCTGCTGATCCCCCATCCGTGGGAATCTGGAGACGTGCGCGTAGAGAAAGTGCAGCTCCTCCTCGTGCCGCATGCAAGGTCGCCGGCGTAGTGTGCTCCCTGGGCGGCCCGAAGCCGCACTGCGCTGAAAGGCGCGCAGATGGCGCACATGGTGCTGGTAGCGAGAGCGCAGCTCCGCCCAGGCCACCAGGCAGTTGGTCAGATCGGTGGACAAATGGCGCGCGATCCGCAGCCAAATTCGCTCCCGATGGTCATTGTCCTGGAATCTGGGATGCCGGGCATCGTACAAAGCTGGCTGGCGGCGCACCAGGGCAATGAGCATCCTCTCCGTCTCGAAGCTCTGCAGGATGTGGGCTTGGCCAGCGGCAGTACTCCCTTGGAAGGAATTGGACGACACTGAGTGGCCACAATCCGTGCGTCTCTTTTTGTTGGCTGCGAGGGAAAGATTGGGATTGTTAACTGGATGACCGATGACCAGGTTACCAACCAGTGGACTCACCATTGATGATCAGCGGATCGTCCACGTTAATGACCTCCTCCTCCTCCTCCTCCATGTTGAAAACGATCTTTATGAGCCTTGCGCTTTTCCGGCACAAAAGACGCGGTGAATCCACAGCCCGGTGGCCAACCGGCTGTAACCACTGGTTATCCACACTCTTTTGACCAACAAATTATTTGTCAATTGGTCCAGCGCAATCTGGAAGTGCTTGAAAACAGAGTTTCAGTTGTCCGATTTCCCGAAAAGCGGGCTTTGCGACGCCAGAAAGTCGGCGTTTGCAAAAAAGCAAATTGCTCGCTGGACACAAACTATTTACCGGCGATGCCACCTTTCGTGGAGCGTCGGTCGGTATAATTGTAGCGATGTGGCAGCCACGAACAGTGCAAAACAACAATGGCGGCCTGAGGGGACATGTGAATGGCAAATCGCTGGGCGGATTGTTTAATATCGTAGCTGTAATGGTTTGGTAAAGAAGAACAAAATCCAGATGACGACTGAAGTCTGTGAAACCAAGTAAATTGTTTGTAACAGCTGTTATTGACAGTCCTGTCAGAAATCGGTCGATAGTTTTGTGACAGTCCGGCAGCGATTACAGAGGCAAAATAACAATGGCGGTCTTCGGTGACACGTGAATGGCAAGCAGCTGAGTGACTTGCGTAAAATTATAGGGATGGTATGCCCCCAAGCAAACGAAATATCGATTAATGTCTAGCTAACTACAAATTAAGAGAGTTGTTAACTTCAACCGACGGTTTAACAACAGATAACAGCAGATTTGAAAACGTTATGGAGCAATCTGTTTTGTTGTCTTATCTTTATTATCTGCATTTGTGTTTAAATGATTGATTAGGACCTAAGCCCCTTAATGGTCATTCTGAGTACCACCTTACAACAACAAAAACTCAATTTATATTAAAAAGAGCAACCCAAATGTTTTGTGATCTTTATAATAACTATCAGCCAGCTCAAGCACAAAGCTATTTAATCTTTGTCATTTCGAACAAATTGACTCTGACGGAGCTAGATTACGACAAAAAGATTTCAAAAACTGAAGTGAAGGACCAAACCAGAAACAGGAAAATAATGTAAGAACAATCTGACATAATAGAAAAGACAGTTATATCAACGTACCATTTATACCAATTTGTAACATGTATATACAAAACATATATATCACCAGTTAATCGTCTAGAAAGAAATCATGTGAAGACAACAGCAAAAATGAGCATTTCTGAATGGATTAACTTAATTTTTCGTTTTATGTGATAAGGTGATGTAACTATATAGTTTCTTCGCACAATAAAGACTCTACCCCCTGATCCTGACCTTTGCTTTTTAAACTGGTCGACAAAAAATTACCTCGCCACAAATGAAGCAGTCGATGTGAGTCAAATAGTTATCGAGCAATAGTCCCGATAATAAGATAAACAATTTCATCCATAAGTACAAGTATTTTGTACAACGAAACGTAAAGAGGGTATTTTAACACAATAAAACTTTTTTTTAAATATAAATTGCTTTCAGGAAGCGGTAAACTCTCAAACCACCACTTCCATCCTACTACGCCTCTGGTTCACAGAAATTAAGATGGCGGACATATAAATTCAAATTGTTTCCCATTAAGAATAATAGGGTTGCACGGAAAAACCATAAGTATCGTAAAGTACCATGTGATCAGAAATGACAACCCACCATCTTGTACTAAAGAGCTCCCACACAGCCTTAAGTTTCCTATCGGCTGAGATTGTTGTAACGACAAAACCCTATAGACAATCTGTTCAACGGATAGGGGATGGTGGATGGATCTCTGTGGGAAGGTAAATGTTTTTTAAACTATCACATCGGTTCGTCGTGAGCAAATTGACAATGATAAGTACTGCAGTAGCTGGTCATTGCAAGTTCATTCTGTGCGACCATTGGCTTCGCTTAATAAGCGATCAAGTTAAATAAAAAATAAGTCTTGTAACTAAATTCGTTTTGTTTCTTTTCTTTCGGCGTTGTTTGCTGTTTATAATAATCACTGATCAGTTGTGATTAGCTAATCGTCGTAAAACGAACCAACTTTTCTTTTGTTTATATTAAAAACTAATCGTTGATCATTGATCATACCAGTGTGAATGTCTTATTGCCCATAATTCTATGTTAATGGCAGAATTGGGCAGTGTGCAAAGTACTTTAGTTTTTTTTTTTTGTTTTTCCATTAGAGCATATATTTTCCACTCTGTGGCAACGCTGCGTTGCATCAGCTGTTTAAACGAAAACTATTTTCCACCTCCTGGCAACGCTGCGTCAAACCAGCTGTTTTACCGGCCTGTTTTTTTTTTTTTTGCCCACTGTTTTCATAACGCGCTTTCGATTAAAAAATTAGAGATCGCTTAAATTGGTTGAATTACGTTTTGAAGGTGAGAGATAGCAACCATGTGGACAAGGACGCACTGCCTCTGGCGCAGTGCGGGGCGCCTGGGCCGCCAGCTGTGCACCACGAGCGCTTCGCAGGCGCGTATCTTTGTGGATCGCGAAAATCAGTTTGCCCACGGCGTCCTTATGGACTCCCCGAAACCCTACCAAATCCTTCGGCCTACCAGTGACTCCCACTGGCGGGATCTGCCCGCCACCGAGGGCTTCATGCGGCCACAGAGCGACGCCACTCCAGCCGAACTGTACGCGGACTTCCACAGTCTGGTGGGGCACTGCATCCGGCTGGATCTGCAGATCAGCGATGCCCGGTACGATGCCTTTACCCGCTGCTACTGCGAGCAACTGCATCGCCTGGCGGACGACCAACTGCTGGGCTCGCTGGGCGCCCTGGCCGAGTTGCCCACACCGGAATCGCCCAAAATGCGCAACTACATGGAACTGTGGAACACCATGGACATCGAGTGCTGTCGCCGCATCGAGCGTTGGTCCAGCGAACAGTTGCTGCTCGTCAGCGACGCCTGGTATCGCCTGGGTCTGGTCCGGATCGGGGAGTTCGTGTGGCTTGCTCTCAAGAAGCTGGGCCGCCGGCTGCGCAAGCTGCCGCCGGAGCAGCTGGTCCACTCCATGTTCCTGTGCAACCTGTTGCGTCGACCCGTCTTCGAGATGTTCGACTTTGAACTGAATCTGGCCCGCTGCGTGGACCAGATGACGCTCCACGAACTGGGCGTCATGGCCATGGGCTTCTTCAAGACCCAGACGCCCATCAGGAGTCCAGAGCTGCTGGCGCAGCTCTATCAGCGGCTGGCCAACGAACTGGACACCGTGGAGGACATTGCTTTGGTGGCGCTGCTCAAGGTGCTGCGCTACAGCAGCAAGCTGCCGCAAGTGGAGCCGCTCAAGGGTCTGCTCAGCGATCTGGAGTCGCAGGTGGAGCGCGTCTCGTTGCTCACCTGCCTGCACATGGCGCTGCTGGGCTGCGAACTGCAGACTTGCAACGATGCGCTGGTGGAACGCATCCTACTTCGATTCGAACGGGAACTGGATACGGCCCGCCTGAAGGATATGGAGCGCATCTGTCTGGTGATGGCCCTGTTCAATTTGAACACCGCATCGGGAGTGGAGCATCGAGTGGCGAACAGACTGCCCGATTTGCTGCGCCAGCGGATGGAGGAGATACTGCGTCATCCTCGTTGCTTCACCAACTGCCTGCAGTTTCTCACCATGCGCGGCATCTGCGACGTGGAGCTGCTGGGCGTGGCCCTGGAGCCGCGTTTCGTGCAGCACGCTTACCGCAGCGGACTGCCGGGGCGGGAGTACTTCCACCTGGACGGCTACGCCCGTTTCCTGGGCGACCACGAGTACCAGGGGCCGTTGCTTAGCGAGCGGCAGCGCCAACAGATGGGCCGCCTCTACACGCAGTACATCCCGGAGCGGGACGGACGCTTCAAGTTGAACGGCACCGATCGCATCCTAGTGGAAATAAAGGATGCCATCTCTCTGCTCCACCGCCCGGTTAGCTTCAAGCACATCCTGCCGCAATACGATCGTTGTGATGTGGTGCTCTGCTACGACCATCGGCAGCGGAAAGCCCTGCCCTTGGACGCGGAAGCCTGTCCGGATTACAGTGGTGAGATTCTCAGCCGCAGGCAGCTGCTGGGCGAGAGCAGGGCGGCCGATGACCAAGTGGCCACGGTGGTCATCGTTGTCGCCGGTTGGAACAATGTGATCCGCGAAAAGGATCGGTTCACGGGACAAATGGAGATGAAGCTAAGGCAACTCCGCCAGTTGGGACATCTGCCGTTGGTGGTAAGTCCCTTCTTTAGCTTAATGTCTTAATTAATTAATTGTTTAAATTAAGTTTTAACCACAACTATTGTCAAAATCAATTATTTGTAGTCGGTACTCGAAAAGTATCATTTATGCAATGATTCAGATGCCCAAACTCCTTCCTTCTCCCTCTTATTTAATATTGCACTATCACAACATACCCTTTTATTTATGAGAAATGCATTTTATAGCAAAATGTTTTACACTCTTCATCCAATTTGTTTTATACCTACAAAGTACTATGCAATAGCATTTCAATAAGGTTAAATATTAAATTAATATTATATCCACCTGCCTTCCTTTTTGTTAAACAATGTTTTTTTATTTTTTTCTAGCTATATATTTATTTGAAAAGGCAATAATACTTTTTGTGTATATTTAACACCTTATAGTCTTTATTTATTCTTGATCAATAAGTATGTATATTGCGCTACAGAAACTTGAAAATAAAATAAATATTTTATCAAACTTCCTTCCTTCCTTCCTTCCTTCGATTTTGTATTCGTTCTGTATCTATTGGAAAACACTAAAATATATAATTTTGTATTTTTTATTATATCTATACAAACCCTCAAATTTTTGAAGAACTAGTTATTATTGATCAATAACTAGTTTCTATATTTTATTTTATTCACCTTCCCCTTTTAAAAACAAAATATTGCTTTTGGTTTAGTACTACTTTTGTATTTATTGGAAAACCCAAAAATATACCAAGATTTATCTTAAAGTACCTCACTATTCACATTACTGATCAACAACGCCTGTATGTATTCCCAGATCTATTGGCACGAATGGCGTGAGCTGGAGACATCTGCGGACCGGCAGGACTTCCTCAGACGTCGCCTTAGTCAAGTGGCCAAGATTTAGGACATCAGCAGCATCCAAACGAAAACTTGGCAGGAAAATGAAGAGCAACAGATAAGGAAGGACAAACAGCCAAACGGGCAGCCCGATTACGGAATGAAAAACGGCAACAGATTGGATATTAGTCAGTCATTAGCATTATCTGAACATTGTACAGGCACAACACTACGATCTAATAATTATCTAGAAAAAAAACGGAATAATTATCGAATATTTAATAATGACCGCCCGCGGCCACGCGTCATAAGCCCA